CTAAACCCTAAACCCTAAACCCTAAACCCTGGGCACAACCCCCCGAACTTTGAGAGCAGGATCTTTCGCTGTTCTGCTGCTGCATGTGTAGCCCGCAGTGGACGCTGCGCTGGCTGCGGCGCAGGGCTAGGGTTTAGGGTTTAGGGTTTAGGGTTTAGGGTTTGCGGGCAGGCGCGGCGACTGCGGGAAAGCGCCGCGCGCGCGCAGCTGCAGCACTTCGCTGCGCAGAAAACCCTCGCCTTCTCCGTGGCCAAAAAGAAGTTATTTGGATTTGCAAAAGAAACTCTTCAACAACTTCAAGAACAAAAACTCTTCTGCAGACCCACCAGCGTCAGCCCCCCGCTCCGGTGTACACGCAGCTCCTCGGGTGTACACGCAGCTTCTTGAGGTGTATAGGCAGCTCTTGAGGTGTACAGGCAGCTCTTGGGGTGTACAGGCAGCTTGTTGAGGTGTATGGGCAGCTTGTTGAGGTGTATAGGCAGCTCCTTGGGTGTACAGGCAGCTCCTAGGGTATACAGGCAGCTCCTCGGGTGTATAGGCAGCTTGTTGAGGTGTATAGGCAGCTTCTTGAGGTGTATGGGCAGCTTGTTGAGGTGTACGGGCAGCTCGTTGAGGTGTATAGGCAGCTCCTCGGGTGTATAAGCAGCTCCCCGGGTATACAGGCAGCTCTTGGGGTGTATAGGCAGATTCTCGGGTGTATAGGCAGCTTGTTGAGGTGTATAGGCAGCTCTTCGGATGTATAGGCAGCTCCTCGGGTGTATAGGCAGCTTTAGAATCATTTTTCTTTCGGTATAGAAGAGGCAAATGGGGTTTTTAATTTATTTAATTGTTCATTATTGATTGATTGATTGATTTATTTGTTTATCTATTTATTTATTTTTTTATTTCAAGGTTTTAAATTTAATTCAATTGTCTTTTATTTCCAAATTTATTTTCTCTTTTGCACTTTCTGCCGCAGCCAGCAGTGGAGATTTCCGTGTGGCCCAAAGTCCAGCGTCGCGCTATTCAACTCGTACAAACCCTAAACCCTAAACCCTAAACCCTAAACCCTAAACTCTAAACCCTAAACCCTAAATGCTAAACCCTGGCTGGAAAGCAAAGGGGAGAATAGGGCTGAGAGCAGTAGCCATAAATCCTAAACCCTAAACCCTAAATCTTAAACCCTAAACCCTGGGTGAACGCTAAACCCTAAACCCTAAACCCTAAACCTCGTCTGCCCTGCACTTCAGGTCACAAAAGACACAGAGAGGAACTTGCAGGTCATCGCAGGTCCGTAAACCCTAAACCCTAAACCCTAAACCCTACACCCTAAACCCTAAACCCTAAACATCGACCCCTATGCACCAAGGTGCCACTGGCTCATACAGCGCAAATGCGCTGAATCCCTGAGAACTTAAGCCTTTAGTTGTAAACCCTAAACCCTAAACCCTAAACCCTAAACCCTAAACCCTGAACCCCGAGAATCTGATCTGTCTTTCACAGGCTTTATTACCGCGGCTCTCTCCCCCTCGACTTCCGTGATGGACAACCTCATTGCTGCGTAAGCTCCAAACCCTAAACCCTAAACCCTAAACCCTAGACCCTAAACCCTAGGCCAGTGGTTTGGCATGTTCTACAGACGCAAGAGACAGGCTGCTGCTCACGTGGAAAAGAAGCAAAAGCAAGTCGCAGCATTTGATGCACTGGTGGGCCGCAGCAGCAGCAGCAGCCACAGCAGCAGCAGCAGCAGCAGCCACAGCAGCAGGAGCAGCAGCAGCACCGCCGCCGCAGCAGCAGCAGCTTCAACTGCATTAGCAACCGCAGCCGCAGCCGCCGCCGCCGCAGCAGCAGCAGCAGCCGCCGCCGCTGCTGCTGCTGCTGCTGCTGCTGCTGCTTAAAAACGTGTTTTGCTTAATTGAATTCTGGAGTTTGCTGCTGCTTGCTGCTGCTTGCTGCTGCTTGCTGCTGCTTGCTGCTGCTTGCTGCTGCTTGCTGCTGCTTGCTGCTGCTTGCTGCTGCTTGCTGCTGCTTGCTGCTGCTTGCTGCTGCTTGCTGCTGCTTGCTGCTGCTTGCTGCTGCTTGCTGCTGCTTGCTGCTGCTTGCTGCTGCTTGCTGCTGCTTGCTGCTGCTTGCTGCTGCTTGCTGCTGCTTGCTGCTGCTTGCTGCTGCTTGCTGCTGCTTGCTGCTGCTTGCTGCTGCTTGCTGCTGCTTGCTGCTGCTTGCTGCTGCTTGCTGCTGCTTGCTGCTGCTTGCTGCTGCTTGCTGCAGCTGTCGCAAAGAAGACAAGAAGCTTTTGAAAGAAAAGAAATGAAGAAAGAAGATAACCTCAAAGAGACGCGGCAGCAGCAGCAGCAGCAGCGGGAAAGGGAAATTAGGGTTTGCTTTTTTGCTTCTTTATTTTGCCTTTTGTTTTGTTTTGTTTGTTTTGTTTTAACTCATTTTATTTTATTTTATTTTATTCATTTTATTTTGTTTTATCTTATTTATTTTATTTTATTTTGTTTTACTTTGTTTGTTTTGTTTGTTTTGTTTATTTCATTTTGCTTATTTTGTTTTATTCGTTTTGTTCATTTTTTTGTTTTATTTCTTTTATTTTTTTGTTTTATTTCGTTTTTTTGCTTATTTGTTCGTAGCCGACCGAAGCATATTAGCTGTTGCTGCTGCTGCTGCTGCTGCTGCTGTTGCTGCTGATGTTGCTGCTGCTGCTGCGGCAGCGGTGTTTGTTCTCCTCCAACTTCATGAGTCTAATTAAATAAAATAAATATTTCAAACTAAATTAAAAAATAAGTTTCATTTCAAAGAAACAATTGCTGCTGCTGCAGGAAGGAGAGCTTCTTGCTGCTGAGGACATCAACGTGCTGCTGCTGCTGCAGCAGGAGCAGCAGCAGCAAGAAGATGAAGCAAACGAAGAAGACGCAGAAGCACCTGCAGAGGCCGAAGAGACTCCCGAAGACCCTGAAGAACAATAAACCCTAAACCCTAAACCCTAAACCCTAGGCACGCACAGTAAATTCTGCTGCTCCTTTTTCGTTTTACTCCAAAGAAAAACAAAATTAAATCCAAAGACACCTCGCGGCTTCTTGAGCTGCATTCCTGTTCGGGTGTACGTACACCTCAAGCCGCAGCAGCAGCAGCAGCAGTAGCAGCAGCAGTGGCAGCAGCAGCAACAGATGTGACTGAACTTGTATTCAAAGTTACACAAAGGTTCAATTTCATTTATTATTACAATTTGAATTCCAATTATATTTATATTTATATTATTTATTATACGCCTCTGAAAACGCCAGCCGCCGGGTGTATAGGCAGCTAGTTGAGGTGTATAGGCAGCTACTTGAGGTGTATAGGCAGCTCTGGAGGTGTATAGGCAGTTAGTCGAGGTGTATAGGCAGCTAGCTGAGGTGTATAGGCAGCTAGTTGAGGTGTATAGGCAGCAAGTTGAGGTGTATAGGCAGCTAGTTGAGGTGTATAGGCAGCTACTGAGGTGTATAGGCAGCTACTGAGGTGTATAGGCAGCTTGTTGAGGTGTATAGGCAGCTACTGAGGTGTATAGGCAGCTACTGAGGTGTATAGGCAGCTTGTTGAGGTGTATAGGCAGCTACTGAGGTGTATAGGCAGCTATTGAGGTGTATAGGCAGCTCTTGAGGTGTATAGGCAGCTGCTGCTTGGCGAGAGTGGATATACACCTGAATAAAAAGCAGCAGCTTTCGAGTAAATGAAAAAGAAAATAAATTTAAAATAAAACTTTGGAAGAATTGAAACAAAGATAAATTAAAAAGGAAATTAAAAAGTAAAATCCAAGTTGCTGCTGCTGTCAGGGCTGCTTCCTCTGCTGCCACTAAAAAATCTGCTGCTACTGCTGCAGCAGCAGCTGTTCTTGCTGCTGCTGCTGCTGTTGCTGCAGCAGCAGCTGCTCTTGCTGCTGCTGCTGCTGTTGCTGTTGCTGCAGCAGCTGCTGTTGCGGTTGCTGCTGGAGCTGCTGCTGTGCACTGTGCTGCTGCTGCTGCTCCTCGTTCACCACGAGCTGCTGCTGGGCGTGCTGCTGCTGCGCCTGCTGCTCCTTAACCTGCTGCTGCTGCTGCTGCTGCACAATGGTGGGGAACGGGAGTCTTCCCTCTGCTGCTTCTTGCTGCAGCTGCTGCTGCAGCTTTTCTATTTCATTTAAATGCTGCTGCAGATCTTCTTCTCTGTTTGTTCTGGGCGACTGCAGCAGCAAATTGGCGTCGACGTCAGCAGCAAGAGATAAAAGCCAGCGGGCAGAGCTTATCTGCAGCAGCAGCAGCAGCAGCGAATGCAGCAGCAGCAAATGCAGCAGCAGCAAATGCAACTGCAGCAGCAGCGGTGAACGTCGCATGCAACGGGACAAGGAGCAACAAAGGGAAGCAGCCGCAGCAGCAGCAGCAAGACCGACAGCAGCAGCAACAGCAGCTGCTGCAACAGCCCCTGTTACAGCAACGGAAGCAGCAGCAGCAACAACAGCAGCAGCAGCAGCAGCAACTGACGATGCTGATGACGTGAACTTCCATCAAGAAGCTGTCAATCGCAAGAGTCGGGAGGTGGCCGTCCTCGCTCACCTGACAACAAACCCTAAACCCTAAACCCTAAACCCTAAACCCTAAACCCTAGCTTTCGATGTTTGCAATTGGTTTAGTGTGTGCGGCAAAAGAAAAACCCCAAACTGGCTGATAAAGGACAGCTTAGCGACTCGAGTTGAGGAGGGTGTACGAGGGTTTAGGGTTTGGAAGAAAATAAGTGTTTAGGGTTTAGGGTTTAGGGTTTAGGGTTTACGAGCGCAGCGTCCACGAGGCCGTAGAGAGAAGAGCTCAGCCGCTGCACGCAGAGGTCTAGGCCCCTGTGCTGGGCCTCAAAGACTTCTGACATTGCTGCTGCTGCTGCTGCTGCTGCTGCTGCTGCTGCTGCTGCTGCCCCTGTTGCTGCTGTTGAGGTTACTGGCGTGGTTCTTGCTGTTGCTGCTGCTGTTGTTCCTGCTGTCGCTGTTATTGTTGCTGCTGCCGCTGCTGCTGCTGTCGTTGCCGCTGCTGCGCTAGCTGCTGCTGCTGCTGCTGCCCTTGCGGCTGCTGCTGCCGCTGAGTTTAGTTGTTGCTGCTCCTTATGCCGCTGTTGCTGATTTGAATTTTGCTGTCTTCTCGTTTAGGGTTTAGGGTTTAGGGTTTAGGGTTTGAGGCATGCACATGTGTGCACCAACAGCGTCGGGCCATGTGTCTTATTGTTTCTAAACCCTAAACCCTAAACCCTCGTGCCTAAGCCGCATGCCCTAAACCCTGGCCCGTAAACCCTAACGCGTAAACCCTAAACCCTAGATCCCAAACCCTAAACCCTAAACCCTAAACCCTGGGATCCCCAGGTAACTGCAGCTCCGGTGTGCTGCAGGGGCAAGCTGAATGGCGAGTTTCTTTCTTCCCTTAGAGATTAGGGTTTTGTACTTGCTTTTTAAATTAGGGTTTAGGGTTTAGGGTTTAGGGTTTAGGGTTTAGGGTTCAGGGCTCTGGGGAGCTTCGGGGCTGGGGCTTCTCGCGCCGCAGCAGCAGCAGCAGCAGCAGCTGCTGCTGCTGCTGCTGTGGGGCGTGTCTCGCTACGGCCGTTGAGCAGCTGTTTGCTTCTGCTTGCAAACCTAAACCCTAAACCCTAAACCCTAAACCCTGTTGGTTTCGAGGCGGTGCACCCCCGGGTCCGCGGCGCAGCCCACCGCAAACCCTAAACCCTAAACCCTAAACCCTAAACCCTAAACCCTAGAATGAGCCCGCAGCAGCAACGCACCTACATTATGCTGAAGCCCGATGGGCTGCAGCGCGGGCTGCTGGGCGAAGTGCTGCGGCGGTTTGAGCAGCGAGGGTTTAAGCTGGTGGCTCTGAAGCTCGTAAACCCTAGCTCGCAAACCCTCGAGCAGCACTACCGCGACCTCAGCGACAAACCCTTTTTTAGGGTTTTGATGAACTACATGAGCAGCGGCCCCGTCGTCGCCATGGTTTGGGAGGGAACTGATGTTGTCAAACAGGCCCGCAAAATGCTCGGAGAGACCAGGCCCCTTGACAGCCAGCCCGGTAACTAGGGTTTAGGGTTTAGGGTTTAGGGTTTAGGGTTTAGGGTTTAGGGTTTTGGGTTTGGGGTTGGGGGTTTGGGGTTGGGGGTTTGGGGTTTAGGGTTTGGGGGCGCGGATTCTAGGGCTACGCTGCTGCCAGGGGGGCGAGGGAGATGGCTGAGGGCGGCTCTAGCCTCCGAGGGTTTAGGGTTTAGGGTTTAGGGTTTAGGGTTTAGATATTAGGGTTTAGGGTTTGAGGATTGGGGCTTTGATGTGGGATTGATCTGGGAGGGTCTAGAGCTTGCGGGGAGGAGGGTTTACGGCGCGGGCGCAGCAGGCTAGAGGGCTTCTGGAGGCGTTTAGGGTTTAGGGTTTAGGGTTTAGGGTTTAGGGTTTTCGAGGGTTTAGGGGTTTCTTGATGGTTTCTGCACCGTTTTTTCCCGTTTTTTCACAGCTCCACGAACAATCATTAATATTAAATGAAATATAATTAACTAATTATTTTCCGTATATTTGTATATTCCTATATTTATATATTTATTTATTTATTTATTTATTTATTTATTTATTTATTTTAGGTACAATTCGCGGGGACTTCTGCATCGACGTGGGGCGCAACTTGATCCACGGCTCGGACTCTGTGGAGGCAGCAGAAAGAGAAATCAAACTTTGGTTTAAAGAAGAAGAGATTTGCAACTGGACTCCAGCTCAGAAACCCTGGATTTACGAGTGAGGGTTTAGGGTTTAGGGTTTAGGGTTTAGGGTTTGGGGGCTGCGCCGCGTGCCCGCCAAAAGCGGCGTCCGCAGACCCCAAACAAGCCCCAAACCGCCCTTTTGCGCAAAACCCTAAATTAGGGTTTAGGGTTTGACGCGCCCAAGGCAGCCAGAGAAGCGGCGCTCGCAGAGTCGCGGCGCGCGCCGACAAATGGGCTCGCCCCAAACCCCAATTCAGGGTTTAGGGTTTAGGGTTTTGGCTTAGGGGCTTCTTCTAAGCTCTCGTTCTCCCGCCAGAAACTGCGGATTTGAGTTTAAGCGAAGAGCCGCACCACCCCAAGGGTTTAGGGTTTAGGGTTTAGGGTTTAGCGGTTCGATAGCAGCAAGTTGGAGTTTAGGGTTTACGGTTTAAAGTTTAGAGTTAGGGTTTAGTCTACAGCGCACACGACTCGCCTTGCGGCTTAGCGTCTAGGGTTTAGGGTTTAGGACTCTTTTGGTCAGTTATTCTTGGTGTAAACCCTAAACCCTCATTCCCGAAGGACCAGCTGCAAACCCTAAACCCTAGGTGTTGCAGGCAGCAGCTAAACCCTCGGAAAGAAACCCTAAACCCTTGACAGCAGCAGCACAGTGGGTTCCGTACGATCCCAGTGCTGCTGCTGCTGCTGCTGAGGCCGGGGCACACGCAGCAACGGCAGCAGCAGCAGCAGCAACAGAAGCAGCAACGGCAGCAACAGCAGTAGAAGCAGGAACAGCTTGACCTGCGGGCTTCAACTAGAGTTCAGGGTTTGTTATTTGGGGTTTAGGGTTTAATGAAGCGTAAGGGCTGGTTGGATCTAGGGTTTAGGGTTTAGGGTTTAGGGGTAGGCTGTGGGCTCGTCGGCTAGCCGCCGCCGCCTCCGTTCAAACTAGGGTTTAGGGTTTAGCTGCCTCGAAACCCTAGACACTAAACCGCTCTTCAGTTCTTGAATCAAATAAAGACAAATCTGCTGCTGCTGCTGCTGAAAGGGAAGGGGGAGCA